GTAACAAAAAACTCCAAAAAAATATGCGAACATAAAAAGTCAAGTACGGCTTTGGATCAGTTGGTTAAGGTGCGCTGATTCTGAACTTCACATTTGGCAGGACCCGAGTTCGATTCCTGGTACTTGCAGTCTCAAAAATAATTATTTACGAATAATTAAATACAAGAATTATTTCCATGACCACTGATGAAGGGTATTTGGCAATACTCGAAACAGCTGTATGGTCAGCCAAAAATTCAATTAATTAAAATAATTTAAAAAATAAATTTTTGTTGTTGTTTCACTTCTGTTCGAAAACTTCTTTATATAACTAAAAAGAGAAATCTACTACAAATGATATGATAATGTCGAAAACTAGTCTAAAGTGAAGAAGAGGAATAATAATTAGCAGCAGTATGGTAAAAGCAGTTGAATAAGTAGAAAGACATCGTCAATTCCTTTATTATTATTAATTTGAAAAGAGATTGTGCAATGTAACACAGAAAATTATTTCTTTATTTCTATAAGAAGTATTTCTTAAGGTCCAGATTTCTCTATAAGTTGTAGTATCAAACTATTTTACCGCGCTATACTTGTTTGTAAGATATAAGGCACCTAACTAGTTACTTTTTGCTTACACATTAGTACCAGACAAAATCATAGCATGTGCTTTTAGGGCTAATATTGTTTTCAAAAAATTTTCAATTGCTTTTTAGAGAAGTAAGCAGTACTACTTTATATTTATGTAATGTACAAGAGCGCAAGCTTTAAATTTTTTTACTCTAATTGTTACCGTTCTATAATATATATAGATTTAAAAGTATTAGCAATAATGCTACCTAACAACAACAAAAATAAAATAAGTGGGAAAGATGAACACATAAACAATTGCATGAACATAGTAGCAAAAACAGCTGCTAAAACGATGAAAAGTGCTATATACTAGCACCTCAAAATTATTATGACACGAGGAGCAGCTCTAAAAGAGAACAGATGTGGAATTATGATATTACAATTTTAAATTAAGTCTTAAAATTTCATTAAGCAACCCTAATTCTGAAACGTTATTTTTGTATCTTTAGCAAATAAAATTTTTTGTTAATATTTATATCATTTAATTAATACCT